ACATGCCCGAACGATAGACCCCACCATTATTAACAACGTCTTCATTTTGACGGGGTACCGCGGAAGGATCGTAAAAAATATTACTGGAAGAGGTATGACGTGAAGGATTTTCGATAAAAATATTTTTACAAGAAATCGTTGGAGTTGTCGTCACTACACCGTCACTAACGTAATCCAAGTTATTGGATTCGGTAGTTGGATAAAAAACATTTGAAGAATCACATAAAGAATCGACTTTGTAACGCCATTTTTCACAATTTTCCGAATGATTTGGAAATATTAAAGTCCCGGTTCCTGCGATATCGGCAAGTCCGGAATCCGACGATCGAGGACTGGCAAATAAAAAATCATTGCAATACCTACTCGATAAGCCTACTTGAGAAAACCGAAAACATCCATCGTTTAAATTTGAATTTTCTACAGGTAAAGACTGTCTCCTGTTGTCTTCTGCACTTGCATTAAGAGCACAAATATAAGATGTTGAAAAACAAATGGAAGACAAATCGTTACTACTTTTTTGATCCATAAAATCCGTTCTGATTATTTCGGAATTTGTTTTCTTCCGACATTCGATGCTATCATCGCGTTCGAAAGATTTCATTACGGTTATAATACCAAGAGAAGCACTTCTTTCGAAGCTGGACGCGAAAAATGTATTTTCATTTCTCATATTTGTAAGTGAAGGCATGCTTTTACTTCTACGTTTTTTATTTTTCCGCCCCGTTTCGCAAAACCCCAAAACACTCAAATCTTCGTAGGTCCTATGAGTCGCAGGCACGTTTGGAAGAAAATCAAAACTAGAATTGCCAGGCTGAAGATTCGGTTTACCGAGAACGTTTTTTAATTTTTCACTTTCGCACTCGCTTTCAAAATTTATTACGCAGTCACGTAAATTAGAATGCGAATGGGAATTTTTTATGAACTCAAAAGAGTTCGTATCGCTGCTGTTCATACTGTCGCTACTGTCTACCATGTCAATGGCGTTTTGTCTTTTATACGTTCTAATACGTTCAGTTCGATCGGTCGAAGTCGACATGCTATCAAGTTCGATAGTTTGAGATTTGAACCAAGTTCTCGATGCTTTGAAAATTTCAAAACTGAGTTGAGTAGGAAATATAACGCACTCAACCTTGTGACTGCGACGGACTTTAACATCCGAAAAATCAAAATTACTTTCGGCGAATTGCCGGTATAAAAGGCGTTTTAACAAAGACCGCGTTATTAATCCACATTTGACCAATCTGCTAAAATATCCCGTAAGACCCGCATAAGAACAGGTATAAGAGGAACTTACGTGGGACGGAGGATGAGAGGACGAAGTGGAAGACTTTTTAACGGACTGAATTGCCTGACGCAACGTATCTATCCATAGATGTAGGTTTTTTTTTGTTTGACAAACAGCAACGATTTTGTCAATTAGATTCCCTAAAATACCCGAAAAAGAATTGGGTAGGGGAGTCTGTTTTTTTTTTTTTTTTTTTTTTTTTTTTTATTTAAGTAATATATATATATAGTTTAAATACCTGTGATTTCAAAAGCATTTTTATACGACTCGGTGTCAGGTAACTGTGTTACATTAATACCGGTCAAAGGAAGTTTTCCTTCGTATATAAAGCCACTCATTCGAGAACTAACGGATAAAATGAGAAGAGTGGTAGGAAAAAGAACAAAATAACGATCTCTATGATATGGTCCGACGGCAACTGAACCCATATGAATTATTTCGCCTAATGAGGAAAGTTCTTCTCCTTCCCAACCTCGGACTCCTCCCGTGAGGATTTCCAATTCCTGTTCTTTCTGGCGTCTTTTAGTCGAACAAGCATTCTGAAAAAAAAAAAAAAAAAAAAAAAAACGAATAATCGACAAAAAAACTTCCCCTAAACAATAATTTTATAAAATCAACTCCAATACAAACCCAAATATCCTTATAAACAGACACGGATCTTTGTGTATCACCTCTGTCAGGATGATTTTCCTCTATATGACGTTCTAATTCTTGCAAAATTCCTGAATATTTTTCCAGTCTTCGAAAGGGTTTAGATAAACCTGTTGTTAAAACAAGAAGACCTGGACTGGCAGCTCCTTGACTTTCCATAAAAGCATTGAGAGCATCTCTGATAAGAAAAAAAAAAAAAAATTATTTTAAATATCAAAATCCACGAAATCGAAACGTTCACATTTTCCAAAATGACGATTTATCTTTGAAAAGAAAAATCATAAAAAAAAATTTTTTTTTCTCATAATTTATTTACTTGTGTTTATTTAATATACAAATAGAACGAGGATGAGACGAACAATATAAAAGATGAATTTGTTTTATTTGTGATGCAGATGTTAAAAATAATTTTCCAACACGTTGTTCGATCGGTGGCAATTCATTACAACCTTCTAATGCAATTAATAATTTTGAATGTGCATCAAATACTGAATCAATGTTTCCCACCAATTGACGATATTCATCGCGATTTAAACTGGAGAATAAAATGTAAAAAAAAAAAAA